CACACTAGTGTGCCACGGCACAGTGGTTGAAAAACACTGATCTAGATGATCTATTTCATAGGGTATTTTGTGGCTGAATCCCTACCAGATTGTCAGCAACATTTTAGAGAAGGTTGAAGTGATATTTACTAAACTCAACTGGATCCAGAGAATATCAAATGTGTATTTTTCCTAAAAGCCTTAAAAGTTGATTAACTGTAATTTAATTCAGTCTGGCTGTTCCTCTACCTTGAATGTAGTACAAAGCAACAAGAAAAAAAATCTTCTGCTTGCTTTGCCTGCAATCCTGTTTTCTTAATTACTTAACTCTTTAAAATACATATATTTTAAAAAGTGTGCCTTACATATTAAAGTCTCTTGCTTTAGATCTTATTTGATTTTTTTAAAGAAACAATATTCTTATACATGAATGAATTATTTCAACTTCAGAGAAGAAAGTAGATGTTCCTGATGCCTGGGAGTAATCTAATATGATTCCACACACACCCCACACCCCCAAGTGGGGAGCCTGCTAGGAGTCTCTACGACCTTCTGTGATAATGAAATCTCCAGATGGTGCCAGAACATCCGGTCCTGCCTGTTGTGGGGGCAGTGACGAAAGTTTTGTTTGTTTGCTAGGGTACCAGAAAGGCTAGAGAAATCAAAGTAACAGTGTAAGTGATTCTATAAACAGATCAAGCAATATATTTCCTTTTTCTGACATTGTTTATGCTTCTTCTCTCTTAAGCTATGGTTGCTGGATCCTCTGCCCTTACTTATTCTGGGCATTCTTTTGTGTCCATTTAGAAACTTATGAAAACGTATTATATAATAATCATTTTTAAATTGGATAATTAAGATAAACCTTTCATCTTAATATTACAATTAAGTCTAGTAATATTAACAAAGAACAGAATCATTCAAATATATCTCTAAAGTTAGACTAGAATAGATATCAATGGGAAGTTCACATATAAATAGTGCGAACAAAGGTTTTTTAGGGAAAGATCAATCTGTATATGAGGAAACACATATTGCTGATAGCTTTCCAAAATGCTGGTGGGAAATAGCAGGCGGTAGGCACATGGCAGAGAGTAAAGTGCAATATCTACTTGGGTTATGCAGTGCTTCAGATTCAGTCTTTAAAAGATACTTCAGAGTGTGCAGGAGGACAACATATCATCTGTCTGCAATATTATGAAGCAATTCCCTTCCCCCCCAGGATTCTGCAGCTGTGCAGCCTCAATATCCACTGTATTTAAGAAAAAACATGCGACACAAATGCCAGGCTTGCAGAAGAAGCAGGAGGTGTGGGGAAGGCAATGTTATGTGGGTAACTAAAAGCAAAGCAGTGAAGATCCAGTAGTTGTTTCACATTTAGAATTTTTTTAGCCCATTGTCTAAATGTGCTGAAAATTAAATCCTTAATCCCCTCCTGTATTTATTCTTGCCTATATTGATCCCTTGGGAGAACAGAAATTGGTGCAACTTCTCCCATTCTTCTCTTGGGGAATTTTCTATTCTCTAATTAATTTTACAAGCCAATTTTGTAAAATAATTTGATTTCAATCAGATTTAGTTGATTTCAGACTTCCATAAATAAATATTATCAAACACTTAATATTCTGTTACTATAAACATATAGAACTCCCAAGTGTCTGCATGCTATAATTACACCAAAGAAGTGTTACAAATTTTTTTTTGAAGGAAGAGATACAGATAGGATATAAAGCTCAGGTAAATTCTTTCCAAAATTGCTTTTCTATGTTTGGAAATTCTTCAATACCACATTTGATACTATGGCTTGATCAGTACAATTTCTTATTCCACCTTTGTTTTTTCTTTGGATTTTTAACAGTTCTGGCAAAGACTCCTTGGGAATTCAGAATCTTGCAATTATTTAAAGACTTTGGTTGTCTTAATAAAAGCACTAGCTTTTTACATCCCCATTAACAAAACTTTTTCAATGATTAACAAGGTTCTTTTTTATTTCTACAGCCCATCTCCAGAAGAAGGCATGGGAGATGAATTTGACCTAATGGATCACTCAGACTTGTACATCTTAGACTTCAGTATGTGAATATTTTCTCCTCTTTAATTACTTTACCTTGTTAAAACCTCTTGCTTTAAAAACATGTCTGAGGTAGAGCTGGCTCATTGAAAAATCTATCTCTTGTAGATGTTTTAGTTTTTCCTTTATTGGATATCATGTATTATATATTACTCTTTTTTCAGGTCCCAGCTTAAAAACGCTGTGTAAACTGGCAGTGATCCAGTACAATCTGGACCAGTCTTGTCTCCCTCATGATATAAGGTAAAATATTTGTCCTTATGGAGATATTTCAGTATCTTTGATCACAGAGCCTTAACAGTGTAAGTAGCTGTCCTAGCATAATATTGTGTGCTCACTACAGATGTTCTGACAGATCCAATTTGAGACTTCACATATAAGGCACATACTCTGCAACTTATGCTCTCTGCCTGCAGACATTTATGAAAGAGAGGAGCAACTTGCTTTCATTGTGACATTATGACAAAAATTCCATAGCTTATACACTTACTTCCATCTTGACACATTTCATCACTTTTTTGCCATCGTGGTTTATAGCAGATCTCTGTGCAGTGAGCATGGATGTTTTTAGTGTTATCATTTCTCCATTATTCAGAGATTGTTGGACAATCTTGTCTGTTGCTCTACTGTTACTATGCTTGTGCCCAAGTCATAGTTCCTTGTCGGTAGCCATGACTAGGGGAAGCTTTGCACAGATTCAGTGTGTGAGCGAATTGCGTCTATTCCTGGATTGGGAATACTTGCTCATGGCATTCACCCTGTAATCCTAGCTAATGAGTTGCAACATGCTCTGTAATGGACTACCCTTAAAGACCATCCACAAATTATAGCTGGTCCAGTTTTGAGTACTCCATGGTTTGCCCATGTAACGGTGCTGTAGGAGCTGTGCTGGCTTCCAGTTTTTCCCCAGGTACAATTCAAGGTACTGATCGTCTATAGCACAGGTGTCAAAGTTGATTGCATCACGTGACATACCGTGATGTATTGCAACATATTTTGCCTTTGTGGAGCCAAGGTCAGAGTGGTCTGCGTGTGACACATCCGGCCCACAGACTGCAAGTTGACACTTCTGATCTATATGCTTCTCAAAATCTGATTCTTGTAATCTTTAACTTGGTGAAACAATGCAAAATATTTTTGAACCAAGGTACCTTACATGGGCTAGCTTACAAAATATATGCAAAATGCAAGACCTATAACTCCTAGGGAATTGAAATTTGATAAACTTTATAAAACATTTTATGATATAAACATAAAATGTCATAAAACATTTCCTATGCTGATGTTTGACTGTTCTATACAGTTCAACGTGAGCTATTCTCCCAGTGAAGGCAGGATTCTAGAAGCTCTGTTACTGTTGAAGACATTGAAGAAGACATTGTTGAAGACATTGAAGAATCTGAGTAAGGAATTATCTCTAAAAAGATAATTCAATTGGACATAGGTGTCTAATCACCTTTAAAATTCTGAATGGTACAGGATCAGGTTCATTGAGGGACCACTTCTTCCTGAGGGTATCAGTCTATTCCACTAGGTTTGATAGACCCTCAAATCCCTTCCCTTAAATGTTGCCATCGAGTAGAACCTACGTAGTGTGATGAGTAATGGCCCTGCCTTTTGGAATACCCTTTCATCTGAAATCAGGCATTTTGATCTTCAAAAAAGCCATCAAGTTCTGGCTTTTCCCACCAGCCTTTGGGTAGTATGAGATTGGAGGTCACTAAGTGCCTAGCTTTTTTTTCTGAATACAGTATATGAGAATGTGTTATGCTTGAAGACATCAGGAGTGACTTTTTTATTTGATTTTTATTGCTTTCCTATTGCACCTGAGCACCAAGAAAAATGCTACAGAAGACAGGGCGGGGAGGGCTCTATAAATCTTATATAAATGAAATAAAATAGATCTGTTCTGTTGTCTTTTCAGGTGGGAGCTTTCAGCAATGACAACTAATAGCAACATCAGCCGCCCAATTCTCTCTTCCCATGGATAATTTGGTGTCGTGCTCCTAGCTGCCTTCAACTCCTTGCCTTGCAAATGTCACCTTCTGTCTTCCTCCCTGTGCATGAACGTTCAGCTTATTCAAAAAAAGGAGCACTATTTCAATACAAAGATCTCTTTACTGACCAATAATGGGAAGGTTCTTTTTGCCTATCCCACCGACACACTAGTTGCAGCTATAACTTTGCCAAAACCTTGATTTAAAGGTAGCATGCACGCAGAATCAGATAATGCATACTACAAAAAAGGACGCCAGATGTGTTTTTGCTCTCATAGTTGAAGGTTACATCTGACAGCCATCTACTGGTATAATATCTTTTCATGTAATAGAGTCAAAGAAATATAAATCTCAGGACTGTTACAAGACCAGCATATGTTTCATATGCGCTACAGAATCAAAGGTGAACAAAGCAAGGACTCATCAGAATTCAGCTTCTCTATGTCTCAGCAATTTTGAGTGCCTAGCTCTCAGTATTAATGTAAGGACTGAACTAAACTGAACTGAACTATCTTAAGCCATTTTCTTTGCTTCTCTGAGCACAGAAAAAAAATTGCCTAGTCTTACACATTTTGGGGGTTGACCAACTTGTTTTCTGCAATAGGCACCCGGACGATCTCCATAAAATACTTAAGCACTTGCCACCTTTACAGTGGTACAGATCAGAGTCTTCAGTGGAAGAAGATAGGATGAGTACTATCTGGCCAAGAAAGGAGTGGCATCCAACATTCTGTAAGACTGAATCAATTTTTTTTCCTGCGTGTTATGGGAGTATTCATCACAAGATCTGAAATGCTATCACCCAGTTTAATATGTACAAGCAAAAGCTCTGAATTTATAAATACTAGGGTGGGGTTAGACAAACTATATGGCTAGAGGACAAGTGATGGACTAATGCAGAGGGTATGAGGATTTAGGGTCTGTAATCCACAAATTAAGACTCTTAATTGAAAACAAATGCATACATTAGTGGCTAAAGGAGGTGAGCTGGAGTGTTATCAGTTCAAATCTTGGTGGGGCCATGGACTTGCTAAACACTGCCGGGCAAGCCACACTTGGTTTCAGCCTCACATCAGAAATATAGGAGTAACACTTTCTTGCCATATGGGAATATTGTAACAATTACAATATACAATAAGTGAAATGTTTTGAATATTCAAAAGTGCTATATAAATGCTGCATATTTATTAAAATTGGGTTTCTTCATTACTCTTATTAAACAAGGTTTTTAACCAGTCAGGGTAATCCAAGTGCCTTAAAATTCCCTAATTCAATTGCTCCATGAGATTATTTAACCTAATATCAAAACAGCACAGCATTTATGTTAATCTTTGAGGGGGGGAGTTATTTACTGCAAGATTAATTTCATCCATTCACAAATTAACATTTGTGTTGTGATGCATGAAAAAGATGGCCTTATAAACAGCAGTATAAGAAAAATAAAAGTTAATATAGCCAGTGCAGTAAACTTATATACATGTATGCATAGATTAGATTTCTTACAAATGCATGTATATTACATTAAACATGGATATGAATGAGGCCAACACAAAACCATATGATAGAGGCTTTCTGGTGCACATGCAGCTTGTTCCTCAGTTTTTACGTCCTTAAAAAGTATACGAGTTTATCACTTGGTAAAAGAATAAGCTGTCATAGAGCTAGGCACCTCAGGATAATGTTTATAGTTTAAAACATAATGCACTTCATTTGTCCAACTACCCCTGAATTTATGTCAGAACTAGGCAATGTTTCCTACATCATGATAAAGAAGGACTGATCCAGGTACCCTGTCTGGTTTTTTTCAGTTTTCTTTTATCATATATCTTTCATTCTTGAATGAACTTTGGTTAAATGAAAGCAGAATATTTGTAGGCTGATTCCACCACCGCCCTGGATTAATAATTCGGTGTCTCACACAATTCTTAAAAAGTATTATCAATTGTTTCAGATTTATTTAGTAGGAAAAAAAGTATGATTTAGTATATGGAGACTCACAAACCTGGTCTGCAAGGCAACCTCTGGAGATGCTCTTTACAGTTTTTTCCAAACCAAGAAGACGTTTTCCCCCCTCTGTATTTGCCCAACAGCGGACAGTTGAGTTAGGTTAAGAATATTTTTATTATAGTAAATAAACTGGGTGCCTTTTATTTATTTTCAGTATTTTTATCTCCAGTTATGCACATACTATGCTTTTGTCAGCCATCAGTTTTTCAGTTTTGTTTTTACTTTCGGTTGTCAATTTAAAAACATAGATCTTTTCATTGGAGCGATTTTAAATTGAAATTAGAATATAACCGAGTGAAATGCTTGTTTAGAAACCCTGGCTAGCTTCACTAAACAGATTATTTGGCTCTGTGCCAACACAGTTACAACTGTGACTCAAGTAACTATGCCTCCAATTCATGCAAGGAATATTAGTTTCAGATGAATTTAATATTGATTACCTGAATTTATGGTAGTGGACAAATTCCTGTTTATTTTTTAGTCCACTTGGTACTCTGCAAATGTATTTGGGATTATAACTTCCCAAATTCCAAAATAGCATAATAGAACATGTTTTCTGGGAATCCTTGTAGTATCAATACATCTGGAAAGTGTGAGATTAGAGAAGACTAGAATGTTTAATTGCATTATCAAACTACAAATTTCAACTTTTGCTTCAAAAAGAAGGAGGGGCTCTGTGTAGTATGCACTTCTACTTCAGATCACATAATATTTATGTTGAAAATGAAGTTCTTACCAGAAAAAGAAAAAGGCCAAACTCATTTGAAAACCAATGCAAAATAAAATACAACCAGTATTTATTGAAAAGTGGGAAAAGTAATAAGGAAAATTATCAGTGGAGTTTGGGAAACAGTGCACACACTCATAACGTGTTCTGGAATAAAGTTTTCACAACTTTAAAAATAGAACAACTTTGGAGACTTATGAAAATGGCTTGGGGGAGACAGTTACAATTGTTGGCTCTGCTAAAACAAATGTATCATGTATTTATTGAAAAAAAAAAAGAAATAAAAACTTACAAAACTTGCTTGCCAGAGATGAAAATGGAATGAGCATCAGAATGCTTCTTCCATGAGACCAATGCTTCAAGTTGAGGGCATTTTTCCTGAGTCCTGGCCCACTGCACATTCTTGCACAAAGATGCATGCATCATAACCTGCCTCAGCTTTGTGCAGTGCAGAACAATGATATATCAATAGTGAAACAAAATCATTTGCCAATTTAGTTGCTTTTGTAAGTGGGCAGACATTTTGTTCCTTCCCTTTTCTCACAAAAAAAATACATTTTTAAAAATAGGTAATACTGGAGAAGTCTGAACCCTTCATCCTTCTTGGGAAAGTTTAAGAGGAAGCTACTCAACATACTCCTAATAATCAGGAAGGTTTGTGCACATTTTAATTAGCGGTCCTTCCAATCCATGCAATTTTAAAGATCACATTTCTAAAATTGACATTTTCAATATATGCTCCTCAGAGTTCTCTGATTAAAACATCCCAACCTAAAACACATTTTTTCTAAGTAGATAACTCAATCAGGATGGAGGAGGCTTGACTAGAATATTGTCTGGTCAAGATACAGAACCCATAGCATTGAGATTCAGGCCATATGAGATTTATCACAAATTATAATTCTAAATAATAAATACAATTGCTGGTGAAAACTGGCACCCAACCCACATTTCAGTGTCAGCTTGAGTATAGAGTTAATGGAAAGATTATGAGAAAAAGCTGAACTTTTATTCCTATAGAACAGTGTTTTTCAGCCTTTTTTGTGCAAAGGCACACTTTTTTCATGAAAAAAATCACGAGGCACACCACCATTAGAAAATGTTAAAAATTTTTAACTCTGTGCCTATATTGACTATAGGCGGGTGTTTTTCCCACGGCACACCTTACACTATGTCACGGCACACTAGTGTGCCACGGCACAGTGGTTGAAAAACACTGCTATAGAAGCACCACTTAGAATAGCCCATTGAATGAAGAAATGCTCTATCAGGGTATCCAGTCCATTGCTCTGACACAAATAGCAAACTTATCCAGGCATGGAACTTCCTGGGAGCCTAAACACCTTCATATATAAGGAGATAGCAACAAGCACAGGAAATCCCACAGTTGTTCATTTGATTTATATTCCATGTTCTGCCAGAGGGTGCCTACAGAAGGTCAAGTTTTATGTCGTAATAGACATCTTTAGAGAGGGAAGCCTAAAAGAGAGGAAATCTCATAATCTTTGAGGAATAAACAGAATGAGCCGTGGATACTTGAGAGAAGAACAAATGACCAGGGGTGAGGGGAAAGCAATCGGAAGATCAAGAAAACAGACAATATGAGAATTTTTAAATACATTGCAGAATTTAAAAAACAACACTGTATTCCTTTGGAAGAAAAATTGTTTTGACTGAGCTTACTGCAAGTACCAACTTCAAGTACTAAAATTCTGACACAAAAAGGGGGAGAAAGCTTGCACTTTCACCTTGCTGCCTCAATATTAATTTCTTACACCTCCATTACTTTCTTTTCCCCTTAGTTCACATTCTAACTAAGCAAAGCATCATTGAGTTTTTGAAAATTAGAACATTAGGGAAATGTCTGTTGGCAGATATGAATATTATCCATATCTGTATCTACAGTAGTAATTCTTGTTTTAAGTGGCATTCTATTAAGATAATTTTTTTAATAAACCATAGGATGAAAATGGCATTAAACCTGCGCCCACATTTTATGAAGGAAATCCTGAACCATACATAAATTTCTTCCATCAGAAAATTGGATAGACTTTCTCTCGCCTCAACCTTTGGAACATTTGTCAATTTATCTCACTGTGAAGAATCTATCTAAATATTCACTCAAAAGTTATCAATTAAGCCCACTAGATTTGGCTTTGCCATCCGAAGTAGTCAAGTCTAAGATACTCCAGCCTCTCCTTAAAAGGCCTGTTTTTCATATTCTATGCCCATCTCTGAATTCATTTCAAATTCTCGATAGATGATAGATAGATAGATAGATAGATAGATAGATAGATAGATAGATAGATAGATAGATAGATAGATAGATAGATAGATATTAAGGCACCATGCAGTATTTAGGTAACTACAACTGATGAAGGCAACCTGAAAATCATTATTGTAGGGTATTACATATTTAACAAATGACAAACACTTGCTTGGGATTTAAAAGAGAAGGGGAGGCTTTTGCAGATTAAATGAGTGCAGCAGGCCCAGGATAACTCCAGCAGTGCGTAAATAACAGAGAAGCTCAGGTAATTACGTCTTTAGTCTTATCTGCAAATTTGGAGGATAAGCAGCTGGTGAAGCTTTTTCTACGCTGATTTTTCATAATAGAGTCTAAGAAACATCTTTCAGATCAACATAATAACCATTTATGTGATCATGCAGTGTTGATTCATTTTTAAAGCTGTGAAATAAAGTCTTGTTGCTAACAGCTCCAGAAGAAAACATGACAAATGCAGTAAACTTCTGAGACCTGTTAAGACCATGCTGCAATTCAGTGTAACATTATTGTTTGGGGCAATTGTTATTTGATTTTCTTCCTTGACAGCTATGTTATCAGTCATGTTATTTGATATTGCTCCTTTTTCCTAAACAGCATCACCAAGCAGGCAACCTGTTATCAAATAATATTTTGTCTCTAATACTGTACCTTCCAGGTGAGCTAACCACCTTCACAACAGCAATTATGCTACCATTTTGTTGATTCATTTACTTCACTTTCTTTTCATTTTTTATTTTTACAATGTCAGCTTGTTCACAGTGGAAATTACTAAGCTGCAAATTATTTAATACCCACATACACACACTGACAGGCATCATCCTACCATTCTCTACCCAGGTGTCTTCTAAATGAATTAAAAGACAGGTTATCATGTATATGATTCTTCTCTGGCAGAATGTCCAGGCCCAAGAAGATGAAAAGTCTAGAAAATTGAGATCCAAAGTATCTGAAAGGTGCCTAGATTGGGCAGGCTTCCCTCACCAAACGAAAAACAAATGTGTACAGAAAAAAGCTGGTCAGTATTTATTTCCTACTGCTCATCTTGTCTGCACTTAAATTGCTTGAGTCTGCACCTTTTGAAGAAGTACATCTTTATCTATGCTACTAACGCTGCAGATAAAGGCCTTGATTCCGAGATGCATTTGCTATAGTTTTATGTTGTTTTTGGAGAT